TTGCAAGTCGAGCTGTGTAATTTTAGATAAGGAGACATAATTATTTGCATAAGAAAGACAGAAGGGAGTTAGTTGTTTGCAATCTAAACAAGCAAATGCACATCTTGAAGGGCCGGGAGCGTTCTTTGGTGACGCCTGCGTGTGCTTCTTTGTTATTTTCTGAGTGGAAATAGCTTTTGTTGGAATTCTTACAAAGAAAAGGACTTCTAATTTCCTGCGGGGGATGAAACATCAAGTTGTAAAAAAACCAAATGATTCAATTCCAGAGATGAAGTAAATGGAAAAATACTGGTTTTTTCCTGCGCTGTTTGATTGAAATTTAAAATAATGTTTGCAATCTTCAGTTAAAATAATTTCGAGATCAGTTTATATTACAAACTGTTCAGCATGTGACAAATTTACAGTTGAGAAACAATTTTTTTGTGAAAACAAAATGTAAATTCTGATTAGTTCAAGGTTTATTCCTCATCACAAAATTGTAAAAATAAAAAAATAGAGAAACATAAATTATTTTATAACTTATTTATTCAGATTTAATTAAATTTGCACAATAAAGCGCTAATAAATTAAATATTAACATTAATTTATTTAAACAATATTTTGTGTTTAATTATAATGAAAGATTAAAAATTATATCTCCATTTAGATTATAAATATATTTAAAATTTAGCTTGCAACTTTGAAGATTTTGTTATACTTTTTTTGTGTTCTATTATAGCGCTGATCGATTGACCTCAAGTGCAGACGTCCTAGTTCAGCTGCACGGGCGGAATTTCGCACCGCGCAATTAATCGCCCAAGAGCAGGCTCTGACCGAGGCACGCGAAAAATTCGGAAAACAAACGCACCAGCCCTTAACATTATTTATTATTTTTGACCCGCACCACAAGAAGTGGAGCTGGTATTTTCCATCATAATATATTTTCCGCCGCTGGGTCATGCAGGCGCGGGGTGTGATCCACTTTTGCATCTTGGCAGTGCATGTTATCGATGTCGCGGTGCCCGGCGAGCACATACTCCGATAATATAGGTCATACGCTGCTGGTGGAGGAGCCACTCGATACATACACATCCCTTCGCCCACCCACCCACCCACCCACGTGCTATTGGAAGAGAGATACGTGGAATTATTCCAGGAGTTTGCCCTTTGAAAACGTGCGATGGCCGTTTTATTGCGCAATTTCTGCTCTAACCTGCCCCAGCAGCAACTTCCCCAGGGGCAAAATATGTATATTCTTGGAAAAATTTTCCAATTGGCATTTTTAGAAGAAAAGCACAGTTTCAGACCAGTTTCGTAAACACAATTAATATTTGTTATCAATTCATTTAAATTGTAATGCTTTTTTAAAAATATTTGGAACCATGTTCTTTGAAAATTCAAGCTTTAGTTTAATATAACAAGGTGCAAACGTTGTTTGGAACTAATTGTTTTATTTTTTCCTCGTTTAGCATATTATTCTTATCGCTTGTGGTAGATCGCAGCGCGCGTGAGAAACCTGTTATGGCCTGAATATTTGAAGAGCTTTTGTTTGAAACGATGCTAATCAGCTCTTAATCAGCAATCACGAAGCCATTATGTTCCCAGTTTGTTGATTGTTTGACGGACTGGTACGTTCTTGGGGCGGTTTCGACACAATTTCGTTGTATGAATATGATAGCGAAATCAATCGTGCGTCACTGGAAAACCCAAATTTTATGCCTACTTATTGCCAGACTTTGATTTTTATTGCAATTAAATTAAATAATTATTTAATAGAATCTGAAAAAAATTTAAGAGAAATAAACGTATATCAATGTTGTTGGATTCATTTTTATTTGTCTCTAACAAATTTTCATTCTTATTAAAAATATGGTCTTATTTAAACTCTCTGCAGGTGGCATTGTTTTATTTTTAATATTTTGTAATTTTTCACGATTTCAACAATAAGTAACAATCTTTATTATTTAATAATGACAAAAAAAAACCTTTTGCAATATTTCAATTTTCGTTACACATTGGCTGGAGGAACTTCCAGAATTTATCTCGAAATTACATGCATTACATAATAACACGGTTGACGTCGCCACCGCTGCTCGCGGCTTCTTCTTCCCTCCTAGGCCAACATTTCTATTGATCCGCCGGCCGGAGTTAGCGAAACATGCAAAGCTCCTGCAGAGATTTGACACGGCATCTTTCTTTTTCCGACGTGCAGATGGTATCGCTAAGTCGAATGGCCGCTCATTTGATATGTCTTTGAGCAGAAAGTTATAAATCCTCTGCGGTGGGCTGCGAATCGCATTTCAATTGAATTGTTTTTCATCTAGCGGCACCAATCAGAGTAGATTGACACGCGCAGTTGACCCCAAAAAACATCATTTGCGTCCATCATCCTCAATTGCGCCAAATGTTTCGCAACAGAGCATAAATTTCATAAATTAATTAAATGTTCATTTAAAATAACGTCAAAATTTCACGTCACACTAAAAAATAAATATAAAATTTGTATCAAAAAATATAATCAGATTTTATATTTTTTTTTAATAAATTTTTTCATCATAATACCTATTGAGGAGGTATTTTCTTAAAAAACGGAACATCTATTTGGGCCTTATCAATGAAAATTTTTTTTCTGACGGTTCTTCTTTCAACTTCCTTTTACTTTCACCGTGTTCTTGTCATAACATTTTGATTAAACATACCAAACAATATAAATAGCTGCGTCAATTTGCTGAGCAAAGGAAACAAAGTTTAAAGGTCGTGCGTATGCACACACTTGCTTAACGGGACCATTAATTAAAAATTTCCATCCGCACATAACAAAGCTCCGTTTTTGTTCAGTCGGCACTCGGCAGGCGTTTCTTGTCCTCTGCGTGCGCGACTCTGCTTAGTATGCAAAGCGATTGACTTTCTTTCTTCTTGCCTCCTTTGAGACGTACAAGTTTTGCAAACTGGCGCAGAATTGTAAAATATATATTTAAACGTGCAAAAGCAAAACAAGTCAAATTGCTCGGCCATTTCGGATAATTTTCTGCCGGCGGCTCCTCGCGCAGGAGGAAAGTAGTTGTGTCTCTTGATGACAAGTTGAATGACCTCTCGAGAGCAGTCGATTGCTGTGAGAAAATAAAAAGTGTAAAATGTGCCGGCCGGAGAACTTGTGTAATCGTGAGATTTCTCCACGATCAAAATGAGACAAAATTGCACCTTCAGCAGTTTGCTCAGCAATGTGACGTGTTTGCAAATGAAAATAAATTACTCCTTTCAAACATTAGCAAGCATTACTCAAGTGAAAATACATATACATTGTAAATAAAAAATAAAGGAAATTAAAATAAAATAATTAAATTAAATTAAAGGAAATGTAATGAAATAAAATATTTACAAAGTTTCTCTTTCTAAATAATTTTTTTTCTTTCAAAAATTGAATGTAAACAATATATTTGTAACAATGTGAACAAATAAACAACAATAATAATAATTAAGTTAGGATAATTATAATTTGTATGCCAATTTCATGTTTTTTCTACGACACCTTACACATTATTTTTCAAAATTAAGACGTCCCACCAATGTTGGATAAAAGTCTTTTTTTATTTTATTTGCTGCCCTAAAATCATTCAGAATTAAAAAAAAGCCATGAATGCAAGTTAAATGTTGTAATCAAAGGGGTACTTCATTCTGTGATAAAATAGTCTTGAGTAAATTTGCGGTAAACACTTGAACAACAAAATCAAATCTAAAGGATTCATCCTTATCTCAGCAAGATAAAGGAATGCAATTTTTCAATTACGAAAATGTCCAAACAATATTTTCACAACAAACTGCAATTCAAAAACATCCACATCGCAGTTAACCTTGATGAATAATGAGTTTCCGAGCAATTATTATTATTATTATTTTGGTGTCGGTACTAAAAGAGTGCTCACGCATGCAACTTTGCGTGCGTGTGGGTGCTGATGCGCGCAGTGTTGTTGTTTTTTTCACTCATTGTCCGGTGCTGGAATAAAACCAAATGCACGTTGCATTGTGTGTGGATTGAATAGAGCAAAGTACCTCAATCTGGGTCACCTAATGCGCAAAGTTAATGCTCCGGCCAACTCTCTTGAATACAAAACTCTCGTTTGTCTTTTCTCGGAAGCTACGGACGAAGGAAGAATCGCGCGTCCTTGAAACGCCCTTTCCACAGAATCATCTGCGAACAATTTTTTAACCAACCAAAAAATTGCAGCGTTGAAAAAACCCATTTTAAGCTCTGTAATTTATTCATTTTTCACAAAGAGTTGAATCTGTGGTGCAGACACGATGTTTTACATGACCTTATGGCTCTGTTCACTCGTTGTAATTGTGTGCAGAGACGTTTAACCAGTTGCATACACACCTGCATTCTGCAGGCGCTCGATTCGACCGCATAGATGCGAAAATGAGATTTGGCCTTTTACAGACAAAAAAGGAATACAAACGACAGTTCACATTGTTTTCCGTCGCTTTCAACAAATATAATTCATGTCAGCGCATTTCTTTTCTCTTTTTTTTCCATCGATTTACTCAGCACACAACACAAAACTTGCTTTTTAGGCTGTGTGTGCTCATGACAAGGCCGCCTGCTTCTATTTTAGAACTCGATTCGATGGAAAATTATAAAAACAAACAATAATTATTATGAGAATCGAGACTGTGCGTTTAATTAGCTACAATTAATTGATTTGCATTAAATTCTTAACTTTTTTGTATTCCTTAATTTATATTCAAGGCAGGTTTAGATTCAGGTCGAATTAATCTTCCTTAATTGATTAATTAATTGTACCAGCATAAAAAATAAATAATTAAATACAGTCCATCGACTCTGAAAAGTTCCAAATCCAAGATATACAAATCCAATGCAACTCCATGAATCTCTCAAAAGGAAATCAAGCTTGGAATAAAATCAATTTTTTATCTACAAGTTTGTTAATTTTATAATGACTGATATTTTAATTCTAAAATAAAACCCTTTGAACTGACGATTCTATTTGCTTTGATTGCAGGTTTCCACATGGCGCCCAAACTGTCAAAGATGTTCCCAGAGTCGTGCCTATTGATCGTGGTCGGGGTGGTGATCGGTGTGCTGCTCATCAGTACTTCGAGTGTCCACGTGTCGCCCCTGACCCCAGACACCTTCTTCCTCTACATGTTGCCGCCGATCATCTTGGACGCGGGCTACTTCATGCCCAACAGACTGTTTTTTGATCACCTGGGCACCATCCTGCTGTTTGCTGTAGTGGGCACAATTTTCAACGTCATCACAATCGGTGAGTCAGATCAATAATTAATCTTGTACTTTGATTTCACAAATCTGTACATTTTAGATAGTGTAAAGTTAATTTATATTTGAAGTAAGAAGCAAAAAAATACTTGAAAATATATTTTTATATCATTTATTTATATTATTTTACACTTTTCTCGTACGAATCGATTCCTTGCATGTCTGTGGTACCTCTATCATGACGTTTATTCCAAAAACTCTAGAAGGAATTTGCTATTTTGAGATGGCTCTATTTCATATTACATAATCCAAACATTGAATTAATATTTCCTCTTGAATTAAAAATTAATACTTCTGGGCAATAATTTCATCATATATCTTTTTGTAATCTTCCTCGCATATCAATAAATAAACAATAAAATACAAAAAATATTTTGATCCTGACCATTTGCAACGCAAATGAATTTTCCTCCAAATTCATTTTTGGCCTAGTTGCAAAGCAGCCAGACGCATATGTGTGCCAAATCCGCGAGTCTAGAAAATTGATCTTGCAATTTATTTGCGCGCAGGGATGTCTTTGTGGGCAGTCGGCCAAAGCGGGCTGTTTGAGTTTGAAACTCCGGTGCTGGACATGATGCTGTTCGGCTCGCTGATTTCGGCCGTCGATCCGGTCGCCGTGCTGGCCGTGTTCGAGGAGATCCACGTCAACGAGATCCTCTACATTGTCGTTTTCGGCGAGTCGCTCCTCAACGACGCAGTCACTGTGGTGAGTTTATGAATGCCAAGTGCACTCAATTTGCTTCCTTGCCAAATTCGGGCATTTGCTATAAAGAAAGCCCTTTTTTGTTGGCAGGTCTTGTACCACATGTTTGAGGCGTATAGTGAGATGGGCCCCGCCAACATTGTGCCCACGGATGTTCTATCAGGTCAGTGCCAAAAATAACTCATGCATGAAACTGAACAAATTAATCTCAACATGAAACTTGTTATTCTTTACCAAATTAGGGCAATAATATTATTGCATATTTTAATAATTGAAACATCATGCTCCTCATTGAATCTTCAAAAAAATTTACTTTTTTGGTTTGAAAAAAAAATTTCATTATTCAGCCAATAAATTAATAGATATTTGAAAAGTTTTATCCCTGAAATGCGTAGACAAATAAATTTTTAAATTATGCAAAAACCTTCATTTTTCACATCTTTTTGCTTGAATTTTGTGTTTTTGAAATTTCAATGTTAAAATTCATATTCATACCATTTTATATCCTGCACATGTATTTAATTGGGAATAATAATTAAATAATAACATAATGAGCAATAAAAATTTATTAAAAATTTCATTTTAAATTTTTGGTTTATGTGCAATTGTTGCAGGCATAGCTTCGTTTTTCGTGGTCGCATTTGGCGGAACTGTGATAGGGATTATCTGGGGTTTCCTCACCGGATTCGTCACCCGCTTCACCCACCAAGTCAGGGTCATCGAGCCCATATTTATTTTCGTCATGGCCTACCTCGCCTACCTGAACGCAGAGATCTTCCACATGTCGGGCATTTTAGCGTGAGTTAAAATTAATTTTTTAATTTTTTTGACGTTTGCAAGATGAATCGCTTTCTCAGTATAACATTTTGCGGCATCACGATGAAGAACTACGTCGAGGCCAACATTTCCCACAAGTCGCACACAACGGTCAAGTACGCGATGAAGATGCTGAGCTCTTCATCCGAGACAGTTATTTTCATGTTCCTCGGAGTGGCCACGGTGAACAACACGCACTCGTGGAACACGTGGTTCGTCCTGCTCACAGTGCTCTTCTGCTCCGTCTACAGATTCATCGGTAATTCATTCTATTTTTGTTTTCTTGTCCCTCTCTCGACCGCGCGTCAACCCTTTTTTAAATGCATCCGGGACTATTTTTGTGACAGTGGTTTTAAATTAGTTTTAAAGTCCATTAATTTAATAAAACTAACATTTTATGATTTATTAATAATGATTTATGTTTTAAAGTTTTTGTACTTTATTTAATTTATCCATTTTTAAGATTTCATTTTGTCAACTTTTAAATTTTTATTTAACCTATTATTTTTCATTATTTATTTGTGGAGTAGAAATAAGAAATTATGTAGATTAAAGATTTTTAAATTCATAAAAATTTTGATTGCTTACATTGTAAAGTTATTTATACGCAAACGCATGCTCTATTGATGTAATTTCTATTTTAGATAAGTTTAATCACAATAATTCTCAGTCTTGTGAAAGACCAGTAGGGATAAAAAAAAGTTATAAGAACTTAATATTTTTCTGAACTTTTCATACTCTTCTTTTAATAGAAAATATATATTTCTAACTAGATTTTTTTGTTGTATATTTTTTCATTAGGCCTAACAGAAATTATTTTAATGTTTTAAATAAATTATAGGATTAAATAATTTTGCGTTGTCTGACCTTGCAGGGGTAATGATTTTGGCCTCAATTGCCAATAAGTTCCGGCTGCACCAGCTGAACGGGGTCGAGAAATTTGTGATGTCTTATGGAGGTCTTCGAGGCGCGGTCGCGTTTGCCCTCGTCCTTCTGATCGACCCGAAAATCGTCAAACTGCAGCCTCTGTTCGTGACCACAACCATTGCTGTGATTTATTTCACAGTTTTCTTCCAAGTGAGTCAATCTTCTGCCGCCGCCGCCGCCGCCTCCACAGAGGGCACATTGTGATCTTTTTTTCTCATTCAAGGGCATCACCATCAAGCCTCTCGTCAGGATATTGAACGTGAAGAGGGCAGAGAAGAGGAAACCCACGATGAATGAGAGAATTCACGAAAGGGTGAGAGTCCGAACAAAAATAGTCCATATTGACTTTTGGGAACAAAAATAAAATTTGAATTTTCAGCTGATGGATCACATCATGGCTGGACTGGAAGACGTTTTGGGCAGGCATGGCAACCACCACGTCAGAGACCGATTTAAAAGATTTGACACCAAGTATATTCGGCCTTGGCTCATCAGGGACAATAAGGGTGCTGAGCCTAAAATTTTAGAGACTTACAGTAAACTGACCATGAAGGAGGCAATGGAGTATATGCGCAGGTAATAATTTACTTATTCTTTTAATTTATGTCTTCCGTTTTTTGAAAGTTTCAAATAATTAAATTTTTGTACATTACAATAATGATAGGTGTCAATCCTGATCTAGCATAACTGAACCCTCCATGCAATTTAATGTCAGCCTTGTTTAACATAATTTTTTAAATATTTGTGTTTGTAATTTATTTTTAAAAATTTAATAATCAATGTTTTTATATTTGATTTTTTTGTTTTTTCTTTAATTTAAAATTAAGTATTTATATGAATTATATCTTTGATTCAAAGTTAAAATTAAATTGATTGCAGTTTTATTATAAATAATTTAAATATAAGTTTGATTTATTTTTCAATTTTTTTACTTTTTTTTACTTACTTCATTGCCGCTTTAAAGACATGCTTTAATTGCATTACTAGAAGTAATGACTCAAAATAAAAAATTGGTGTCAGAGATATTTTTCTTTTAATTTTAGTTTGTATTATAAACATTAATATCTTGAAATATTTTGGATTTTTTTTCTGATGCAAATAAATTTCTGTTGAACTGAAGGAACGCAAGCACACTTGCCGCCTTCCCTGGGACGGAGAGCATGTCGACCCTGTTCCGCAACTGCACCCAGACCAACATGGACGCGAGGTGGGGTAGTGGTGTCAGAAAACCACAAACCGACGACCCATTATTTGCCGCTTTGGCGCAAGACAGGTATTTGTGAAGCTAATTAGAAAGGAGTCTTTATAGTTGATGGCGCGCGGTGTGGTAGATCTGTGTTTGATCTTTGTGGTGAGCAAAATTAATTCTCTCTCTCGAGTTCTCTTAAAGACTCCTTTTGAAGTAGGCCAACTCTTTTGCAGTCCAATATATCATTTTGTCACTTAGCTTTTGCTGCATTTCACACTTTTGACCAGTTTCTTATTCTCTAATAAGCTTCCTATAGCTTAGAGGTCCTGACTTGCCAGTTGCATATTCAAATGCACACATGCATGTTTCAAAACAATTCAGTAGCAAAGCAGTGAAATTATAATTCTCCCTCATCCATCATGGAACATTTTTATTATTTTAAATTTATGCATGCTTTCAAATTTTTAATTTACTCTTGCGAGTTTTTGATAATTTGTGTGTTTTATTTAATTTCGTATTTTTGATTGGAAACCACTTCTTAGTATTTAGAGATTTGAGAAATAATTCCAATTTGTTAGCTAATTAAATCTGGCTACATTTTGAGGATTAAATTTTTGTATACTTTTTTTCATGTATTTTAACAGTTGAAATTGATAACATTGGCATTTTTATAGTTTCCAAAATAAGGAACCTCTACATAGAGAAGCGTTTGAAAGTAGTTTTACCAATTGGCTTAATTGCAACATTGACATCATGAATATAATTGAAAAAATATTAAAATTTGCTGGCCTAATTCATTAGTTTACAAGTACCTGTCTCAATAATTCTAACTTAATCTTAAGAGTGAACTAACAAAGAAATTTTTTAAATTTCTCTAGATTTAAACATATATTTAATTCTTAATTCACTTAATCCAGTCATCTCTAGCTGTGCACCATAATACAGCTTTCAGCAATTTCGTAATTTTATTATTTATTGCACTTTTAATTTTTAATCTATTTGTGAATACTTTCTCTATTGTGCATTATTCAGTTTCAGTTTCACACAGCTTGACTCGAGCGTGCAAAATCTTGACATGCAAGAGTTGGAGTACAACCCTAGCAAAAAGGATTTGACCGACGCCAAAATTCACCATCTTCTTTCCGAAGAACTGTGCAAACCCAGAAGGGTGAGTTTTTTTTGCAAGTTTTTATTATTTATTCTCCAATTAATGTCAACTCAAATCAGACACTCAATTCTGAGTTTAATCCACTTGGAGTAAGATTTTGCAACTTGATAAATTAAATAATTATATGATTTAAATAAAAATTGAAAATTTCAGCACCGGCGTCTAAGCTACAGTCGACATGCTGTCAATGACAGGGATTTGTCCACGCAAGAAGTCAACTACAAAATGCACATGAATATGAGGCACATCATCAGTGGCAAACACCATCACAAGAGATCAAAGAAATTGAACAAGGTGCTTAATTACTAAATAAATATTTTGTAATTGTTATTTTTTTACATTTTTAGGAGGGCAAACCTCACGTCAGCTTCCCAGGCATCACCCAAAATGGTTCTGTTAAGCAATTCACGCATGGTAATTTTATAATTTTGATATTTTTTAATCAACTTGAATAATATTTTGAAAATCCAGACTACATCAATGAAATGTTGGAAGAATCGGACTCCAACGAGCCAGACGAGGCAAGGCCAAGCACCTCGGGACTGAATGACGGTCCTGAGGGTGGCATTGTCTTCACAGCAAAAAGCACACCAACTAACACTGGTAAGGCTAATTTGTTGAAATAATTATATAGAGGAAGGAGATAAGTCCAGTCAAAAGTGAATTAATCTAACAAGGAAACATATGGAAAAATGAGGCTTTTTATTTAATTTAGGCGCATTTTTTGTATTAGAAAGTGTTTAATAAAAGTATCAATGAAACTAATTAGAAATAAAAAAAAAGTGAATAAAATCCACTTTTAAGTAAAAATTAAGGATTGATCAATTTTCATATGTTTCCTTTTTTTACAATAAATCTAATAAAAATTAAAGAAATTTGTGCATGGGAACCAAATTTTGACTGCTGACTGTGTCCTGTATAGTTTTATTAATAATGTAATTAATACTTTTATATATTTGCGGTGATGGTTTGTGGAAAACTAACTCATGGTGCGTTGTTGTGTGAAGGGCCTGCCTCAAATTCCAACTTGCTGACGGTGCATCCAGCTCAAACGCATCAGCAGCCTCGCCCTCCGTGGCACCTGCCCCTCAAACAAACCACCTCATGTTCCTCCACCAACCCTGTGTCCCCTCAACCCAACCATAACAATGATCAGCCAACCGTAGCTGAAGCCTCCTTACCCTGGCGAAGGTCCCAACATGTCACTGGTATATAATTACTTTTTACTTTTCAGACTGCTCGTGTACCTTTTTTTAGTGTGTACTCTGCACGAACTCGCATGCCGATCTCGTCACCCACCAAAATAACGTAACTCACCAAAATAATCAATTTAGTCTCATATTTAATCGTAGCTGTTTGGCTGGAATTAGATCATTTTTAATAAATACAAATTTGCTTCCTCTCACTAATTCATGCAGAAACCACTAATACTGAACCCTGAAATAAAATATTTAGATGAAGCAGTGGTGCACAACGAGGACCCCCACCCCAAAGATCCTGGGAAAAGAGCCAGCCGTACAGATTCAGAAGGTATTTTCCACCTTTAGCAGCATGAGAATAGAATTTATATTTGAATGAATCTCTCTCTTTTAATTTATTCAAAATCATGTCTTTAAAAAATGGTGCATGTGTTAATTATTGGAGGCGAATACTTAATTTATTCATTGATATTATCAGACCATTTATCTATATTTACATAAAAAAAATCGATCTCTGTGAAATGCTTTGCAGCTCTTTATATAAATTTTTGCTTAAGTTTGCAACTTGTTCGGCATGAGAATTTTAGTTAATATATAACCCTGGCTTTGTCTCAGGTTAGATTTGATATTATTTATATAAATATCTTTAGTTAAGGGAACAAGAGTTTTATTAAAATTTTTATTGATTGTACGCTGTTCTTTCAAATAAAAATAAAACCCTCGTTATCGCTTTTATTTAACAAAATCTCTCTCTTTTTTCAATTGCATGCTTTCACTTATTTTCATTTTTGATTATTTGATATACTGAATGAGCTATAATTTGTTGAATCTAATGCATTATTATTATGATAATTAATTGCAATTTCCTTGTTTTATGCATTCCCGTAGATTCAGATGGTAAGCTTTCTTTAGACTTAAATAGGGAAAATGCTGGAAATTTTAGACAAATTTTATTACATAAATTTAAAGTATATATTATATGAAACAAAGTTGGTAACGTTACGGAATGTTGAATGCATCTGCAGAGGAGGCAGTCCACGTGACTCCAACCGCAACAGAAACAGTCCTTCCCTGGAAGAGAGATGATGAGGCTGAGCAATGCACTTTCCCGCTGAGGCAACACGAATTCCCAGGGTGGTGCAGCAATAAAGAGTACCTAGCATATAATTCTCCGTCATCCACATTCCTAGGTACGACCAAAAGAGATTTTCTATATATTTATTGTGTTCGTCTGCTGAGGTTAAAAAAGCGATGAATATAGAACTGAATTGCAGTCCACCACGCTTTACATGCGTGCACAGCCAGTTGCATACCTCCTGCTATCGTTGAAAAACGCTTTGCTTTTATTGTGTTTCAAAAGAAGAGAGCAAATTTTAAGCTCGTTGAGAAAATGAATTAAATTAGAAATAAATTAGTACAAAATGACTGAAATTTTAAAAGTGAAAATGGCTTAAAATCACTTAAAATGTTAATTATTTCTATTAAAACTACACATACTTTGAAAAGTATGTCAAGAGAAGAAATGATTGATAGTTAATTGAAATGAAAATCTGTTTTTTCCTCAAATTAAGAATAATTATTTTTGAAATTAAAATTTAAAAATTACAAATATTAATGACTTTGAATTGCATTCAAAAGCAATTTCCAATTTTACCTGAAAAAAGTACGCTTGGCATGCTGCAATTTGAAATTAAGCTTTCGCGCTGTTGAACCGGTTATAATTAGTTTGCAAATCGCGCCTCAGGTGGACTTGATCAGCCCAAGGTGGCTTCGGTGATCGGCCTGTTCCGCCGAGAGAGCACCGTCGACCAGGAGATGGCGCGCGCCGACGCCGCGATCCTGGTGATCGAGGAGTGTCCTGCGAGTCCGGTGCCCTCGTCGGCCACCCCCAGCGGCACCCCGGGGATGCCCAAGAGGCCCAGCTCAGCGCGCAGGGGCTCCCTTCTCGAGCTGGGCGCCTCCGTCGACCCCATTCCCGAGGAAGAGGCTGGTGAGTATTCACGTCCACCCCTGATTTGAATCAATTTTTTTGATTGAGATGATTTTCGACTGAAAAGACACTGCGTTCTGATTTGGTCAGGAACCCCCGAAAGCAGTGCAAACAAGTCGCCGCCGTGGGCGCAAAGACGAAGGAGAAAACAGGGCGCCTGCTCCAGCTCCTACGAAGACTTTAGAAGTAACGTCTAGATGAAAATTATTATAATATATACTAACCTTACTTTGCCACACACGTTTTTAATACGTTGTTGATTGTAAATACGATGGAGAGAAATGAGCGCGAAATGTTTTTTAGCCAAAACTTCAGTTCCAAGAGCACCGAAATTCTAAACTATTTGAGTCCCTTTTTAAAGAAAAATGAGCCTTTAGAACCTTTTGCATAGCATTAAAAAAAAAGGACAAATTTGATCTTGAACGCAAAATTTTGATTGCCGCCTTAATAGAAACAATACATATTTAAGAAAGAAATTCACGGGCCTATAGACTTAGATTGTTACCAAGCCCTTCATAGGACGCAAATTATTATAAACATAGCAGCTCAGCGCTATCCAAAGAACTGCTTTTGTTGTTGAAACGTGTAAAATTAAACCATTCTGAAGAAAGAGAAAAGAAAAGGACGATTCGGAAATAAATGCTCAAAACATTGGTAAAAAAGTGCAACTAAAATCGCTAGTGTGGCTGCTGATCAGTCAAAGCAAGAACGTGTCTCTATGAAAGTCGATGCATTTCAATTTTTAGACGAATAAAGTGTACAAAACGATGGTGTATATTACAAGTGTCTGTATAAGTGTCGATGTGAGTTACTTCAATTATATATATAAATTAAATATATATATATATATATATCGTGATACAATTTACTTTTCGAAAAGCAAAGAAAAGTTAGTCTTGCTATCTAATAATTATATACGCAAAAAAAATCTATACTTGTGATTGTGCTGTGTACATGGAACACACATCTTTTATGGATTTGGTGCTACTTTAAGAGAAATGAGTATATAAAGTTGCTCTCAAGATACACGAAGAACTGAGATTGAAAATTTTCTGTCAGCACAATTTATATTGATTTCATGCTCTGTTCCTTATTCAAATGACTCTCTCGGTTGCCATAATAACTTGTTTGAAACATTCATTATTATCTGTAGGTGAAGATTTTTTTCAAGAAGTTTTTGCATTTTCCTTTTAATCTATAAAAATACTCTGACCTTTAAAAATGAGTAACACACGTGTTTTGAGCCAAAAATACAGTGAAAACTTTTCAAATTGTACAGGGCTGTGTAATTCGAATAAAGTGTAAAGTTGTAAATTTAACTTAAAATAATAATTACCAAACACCCTCCAACATTTTTTAAAACAGTCGACTTTACATAAGAGTGTCAGAATTAGTTCAGTGGAAGGAAAACAACTACGAAATTCGAGCTTGTTTTTTGCAACACAGACGTGAGAGAAAATCAATAAATTCCTCTGTCTTGCTAATATAAAAATTTATAGATTTATGTGAACTCTTGGCATGGAAGAAAAATTGCAGTGCAAATGAAAAAAATTAAAGTTTTAACATGTAAAAGAGAAGAACGTAGCTGTTTAAGACACACTTATGAAGTTTTGGGGCGTTTTGCCGTTTTCTTGGAGGGTTGTTGGCGGCGGAAGAAGCCACAGAGAGGATAAAATACACACAACAAATGGAAGCGATGTTTGTCTCTTGTCAAATTGTGCTCCCATAAAGAGGAAAATAAATAATTTATTTTAATTCCAAAGCATACACAATACTTGTTTTCTTTCGTAAATGTTTAATTCCAGGACCTCGATGATACAAATGAAATAATAAACCATATTAAAGGCATGAAATGTAAATTCGTTTTTTATCAATTGTCATTTTTACTGCCATTTCCTAATTTGATAAATTACTTTTTATTTGTTCAAAATCGTTGTTTTGAATTTTGAAACTAATGAATAAATTCTATCATCCTCACTACAATCAAGCTTTTGTACATCATTTATGTTAAATCTATTTCATGCAATTAGCAAAATGTAATAAATTAAATCCTGGAAAGGACAGCAATGATAAATATTGAATTTTCTTAATTAGATCAGTAATTGTTACAAAATCGCCATGTTCAAAATTGATTTATTTTCATCTTAAATTTTAAATCAATTATTTAAAGGGAGGAATAATGTATTTTTTTTTTATTTCAATTAAAAAAAATTATTAATATATAAAATTATTTTAATAAAAAAGTTTAAAATTATAAATTATTGTAAAACAACATATTATTAATTTCAAATTAAATTGTTACATTTTAACTAGTTTAAAACTGGAGTGCACATACAAAATCATAAAAATCGTTATTATTGGCAATGTAATCAAATATATTTTTTTTTCTTATAAATTTTCAAACGCAAAGAAATATTTCTGCAACTGTTTTTGAGACTGAAATAAACTTGAAGTTAATTTGTTGAATTTACGCAACATTTTTATTATTATTATTTTTTTGCAAATATTATAATTTGTAGAAGATATGGAAAGTGCGATAAGGGTTGCTACCCTTGCACCTGTCGCGGCAGAAGAGAGGGGCGAGCTTGGCTGCGGCTGCGGCGGCGGAGGGAGGTGCCCTTGTGAGTGCGAGCGAGCGAGCGAGCGACCGCGGCTGAGCGTGTATCGCGAGTAGTCAGTCGGCTGGCAGTGGCGGGTGAGGATCAGCTCGGCAGAGAGACAAGTTTCGGCCGCCGGACGCATCGATTCTCTTCGGACGAGCAGCGGCCGGTGTCCGAGGACGAGAGCAGTGAGGCAGGTAAGGAGACAAAACGCCAAATCGATAAATCTGCAGCCGAGATGTAGGCAGCCCGCGTATCACTCTGAGCGCGCGGCCTAGTGCAAAAATCAATAGTCTTACTTGACCGAGTTCTCTTCTTCTTCTCGGGGCTAGAATATATAAAAGATGACACGATCCGCGCGCGCTAGAGAAACGGAAACGAAATGTGCGGAAAACAGAGGCTGGGGCGGCGTTTTTAAGTGGGCTATTGATTTTTCGGGCGCCGGCTTGTTGGATAATATGGCAGCGTTGGGAAATAATTGCGTTAGTGCTGGTTGGCTGGATAGGGTTGCCTCGCGCACCGCCGGAAAATTGGGCTCGCCGATCCTCTTTCGGCTAATCGTGTTTTTTTTTTTTACCTCGGGAATTGAGAATTTCCGCCCTATCATCAACAGAGGAATCGCATGCGAGATTCCATTCACTTTGAATTTTGTCCCAAATCTTCGTTCACCAGATTTCTCAAAGCTGAGAAAAAATGCAAAATAACATATTTGAATAGAACTCATAGTCTTTACACTTAAAATTAAAAGATTAAATATTTCAAGTTTTTAAAATAACTTTATTTGAATGTAACTTTTAAGTTTTATCTTTAAAATAAGCTTTTTAAGAAATTAAATTTACATTGTTTGTTTTTAATTAAATTAAATATTTTATTTTGAGATTTTGTGCTTCAAGCAAATCAGATTTCTGGTATATCATTTGTATTCAAGATTTTTGTTTAAAATATTTTCAAAATGTAATCAAATTCCACGATTTTGCCATGCATCATAGAGATTATTTTGAATAAATTTATCTCTGCATTTGAGTGGCTTGATTAGTTGATTTCGTTATACAGCAGTAAATAAAATAAAGCATAAAATATGATAGAATGCACGGACATTTGAAAGATTGGTAAGAAGAAATAAATTTACGGCGCTAAGTTCTTGTCTAATAATAAATAAATAAACATTAAAAATTCACCTTATAAATTGGCAGTTTAAATTCGATCTTAAGTTACTATGAAAATTACCCTTCATTATTGCTGTTGTAAGGCAAACTTATCAATAAGAACAAAAGTAGAATTTACTGCAACAACCCATAACTTTTTTTATGCTTTATCAAAGAGCATAAAATTAGAAAAAACTCTCTCAGAAAATAATTATTCTTGACCGCAAAGCAGACCAAACTTACTCTGGTGTTTTGATTGTTTATTGTTTCAGTGCCCACGATTTAGATGCGCGATAAATGCTAAAGCTCGTGTATAATATTCTCGCGAATCCAAAGCGTTCATCTGATCCACACATTATTTCTGCCTGGGAGCAGCCGCTGTGTGTCGTTGCGTATAAATTTACATGCGTGGGCAGCGGTGTAATGTTGAGGCTTGGGCGCAGTAAAAATTAAAAAAAAGAGCACAAGGTACGTTGTGTTGTATACCTTGCAATAAAATGCACACTAAATCAAAATCATGCGCCTGCTTGAATTCGTAAACTAGACCCAAGGAAAATAAACGTGAGCGGAATACGAGACACAAAGGTTGAAAACCATCTCAACTCTCAGGATTAATTGTAAGATAAAAAAATAAAATGATAAAATTTTATGAATATTAAAATAAAAGTATGGGAAAATATTTAAAAAAAATGTTATTTTATTTAGATAAAAATTTAGGTGCATTCAAAAAATCGTAAACCGCCTCTAAAAATATGTTTGGAAAATAATTATTTTTATCTATGCCCTGCTGAAAGTTCTAGTTCATCACCTGCCGCCCAACGTGTGGAGCAATTCACACTTTGGCCCTCGCCTTGCAATTAACACCTCGTCGGAGCCGCATGCATGCGACGACGCAATTTTCGCGCTAGACCTGCGCCTGATCAAAAGCAGTTCACATGGAAGTGGTGCAGAATACTTTGCGCTTTTATTGCTCCCTTTTCATTGCAACACACCATTAAATATCAATCAAGGAAAAAATGGGACAGACAAATTGGAGAAAAATCCATTTGGTTTAACCTTCGGGTCAGTATTATTTTTAGAAAAATTATCTTAATTACGGCTTTCACTGAAAATATGCGAAAAAACTTTGATTTAAAATGTAATTTTCAAAAATAATTTTAGACTTGGAATTTATATTTTCATCGCAATTAAAATTAATGCTGATGTTAATTTTTTGCTTCTATTGAAGTGAAATTTTATTATGCGCCTGAAGAGTGAGTGGATTTGTATTCTTGGTCGTGATTAGATTCAATTAAATAAGCCCTGGTGCCCTCGTCTGTGAGTACATTTGCTTGACATGCTGTAATTGCCGGTCATTATTTCGCTGGATGACAATGAGCGAGAAAACGCATGTGTTGCGTATGAATGTGTGACGTCTCGACGCAGTTGCATAATTATCAGAATCTCGGCGGATCAGCAGACCGACTATATGAGAACTGGTTTGCTGAGACTCTCCGCATATTTGGCTCAAATCAGTCGCAGCCGGTTTGGCTCAAATCCTCGGCCAGCAATTGAAAACGACCCAATCAAAAGTGGGCCTCGGGCAGTTGCGTTTAATTTGAATTTGATGTATCTCATAAATTCATTTGCTGAGAACAGATGTAGGGACAATACCAAAATATAATTTTAAAAGTCGGATTTTTGAAACAGAAATTAAAAATACAAAATATGTTTTTTGTAGCCTCCGTAGTTCTTTAATTTTACAGTCGAAAGTTTTTGTCCATGACCAAGAAAGAAGAAATGTTTTCTAAAAAGCTGTTAAAATAACGAGCGGCGGGAGCTTTATCCTGTTTTATTATTATAAATTATTGCCCCGCTCGGAGATTTCCAATTTTGTGAGAAGACATACGCTGTATATGTGAGTTTGCTTGTACATACACATATTATCATCCCATTGTGAATGAGGCAACGCGAGTGTCTGCCTCGGATACATGGAAACGCTGCTATTATATTGTCGTCTGTGTTAAGTCAGGCGTTGGTTTTTAATTACAGCTTTTCCTCCACCAAACAATACAGTGGCGGGCGATGTAATTATTCATTGAGAATACAAAAAAGCAAATGAAAAGAAAAAAACTATACTTAATTAAAAAAATAATTAATTCTAATTATTTTACAAATAATGTATTGATTTGTTTTTTTCTAATGGATAAATTTTTGCGATTGACCATTAGTTTCTCAGTATAACTAAATGGAATTCATAATAAGTAACAAAGCCCATATTAAATCGATAAACAAGTCTGAAGATAAATACAAAGTTTAGCGGAAATTGATAATTTTGATTTAAAAAAAGAAAAAATAAATGTTTTAATCAAATGCAATATTATTTAACTATTTGTTTCTCATTTATATTTTATAATCAATCGCTCTTTACTTCCACAATATCCTCTTGATTTTCTTTTTCCTGCAAGCCGGACGAACTTATCTCTTGTTCTTTTTCTACTGGTGCAGCAACTTCCTCTTTGTCATGCTTTTTATTATGCTCTTGCGCAAATTTAGCTGAGAAAATAAAAAAAAAATTAAATAAAACTTTTGACAAATTTTTTACCTGGTTTTCCAAAAGCTGTCCTGATTATAGTCTGACAGGGGGCATCAACGGCAACATACAGCCACAGTGTTAAAGGGATAATCATGACCAAGGTGCCAAGATATTCAAACACCTTTGGAAAATTAGCACAAATATTAAAAATTGGGAATCTTTCCATTTCAAAAACGGATTCCTACGACTTCAAAGGTTGAAAAATAAGTGTTTGCCCTATTTTGGCCAATGTGAAAGACAATCATGTCAATGTGCACCAGGTAGGCACAAAAGCTGAGTTTGCTCAACGGCAAAAAGTGCTTCCATGACAAAATCGAGTTGACGATGCCTTTAAAAAAAAAGTAATTAAATGAGTATTTTAATAGAAATTTAAATACCTCCGTATCCATTGGTGCAAGCCCAGATTATGAACGAAATTCCGACGCCCCAAGCAAACCTGTGGAGACCAGCAAAGAAAGCTGCCCCCACGTGTTCGTACTCATAGTCGACGTTGTAAGGGATGACGATCATGTAGACAATCGCCAAACACAACGCCGTGTTGAGCAGCCACTCAACCACGACCCAAATTTTGTTCATCTTGATTGTCACGTTGTTGGCCAGCAAGTAGGCCAAAATCATGCCGGCCAAGTAAGGCGCCGCGCGAACGGCTGGATTTGTGTAAATCAGAGTGCCAAAGTTTCCGGTTGTCAACGGGCTTTAGAAACGGAAATGTTATGAAAATTAAAATATTCAATTAATCATTTACTTGGGCGTCAATGCGTTGGTCATGTGCAAGTTGAAGGCGAATGTGTAATAAAAAGCCAGAGCAACTGAGAAAAAGGACAGCAGGCCTAACAAAGTAAGACCGATTTTGGGCCGCTTCAGCATTGCGATTATGACGAAAGGTGACATCACCAACGCCAGCTGCATGTCCACCTGAAGGTACCAACCCTGGCCAAGACACTTTACAAGAAATATTTAGAAATGAATTAAAAAAAGCTATAATTTTTTTCAAACCATGGATGCGCCAGGCTTGTAGAAATTTTGAATGTACACTAGGGTGGCCCACCAGTATCCCTCACACCGCTTTGTTTCCAACTCAATGGCCAAGTCCCACAAAGGGCCGTGGCTCAGTCTTTTGAGCACCGTTGTCAGGCAGAAAATCACCATTGCAAGGGGCACCGTAATTCTAATTAAAATATAATTGGAAATAATTTACAAGTTATTGCATTAAATTTCACATGCCTGATGAATCGGTAGATCATGTATTTGAAGACATTGAATTTCCTGCCTTTTTTCTGGTCCACCAGAGGCACGTAGACCGTAAGCAATCCGCTCAGGACAAAAAATGTGTCCACAGAAAGGGACCCATGCAGAACAGGTGCCATTGTCCACATATGAATGTACTGTAGAAACAAAATTTATCAAAAATATATATAATTTATAAAGCTTATTTGCCTTATTTATGGCCAAATTAAGGTTCATGTGGGGGTTGAAAAAGTCTACAGGGTAGACGTGCAGAAGAATGACCCAAAAGGTGCTGAGCACCCTGAGGCCGTGCAGGCAGGGCAGTTGTCCTGGAGGTACGCTTTTTGCTGGCAGTTTGAATAACTCCCTAAAATTGGTGCGAAGTGAAAACGCTCGCACCACAACATGCATATCTAAATTTAATAATCTATTTAATAAAATTAGTAAAATAAAATTGAACAAAACCTTTGTCTTTGGGCCACGCGTAATCGCAGATCGTCGCAAATATTAATACAATGTTGAAGATCATAAAGGTTATTCTGTGAAATAATAAATTGTGAGAATCGATTGCAAAAAATATTAAAGAAATTACAAGAAAAGCCAGGCACCGGTGTCTAGATCTTTAGATCCGTCGTCCTCGTAATAGCAAGAAGATTCAATCACCGTCATGTCCACATCCAAATTGAATTGAGAGAAAAATTGCCCCAAATTAAAATCCGCCACTCTTTTCACACCATCAGCGTTGCAGGTCGAGGGTGCACAAACGGCCCATTGTGCCAAAAAGTTGTCACTCTGAATGTTTTTGTTTTCATTTAAAAAATTTTTAAAAATTTAATTAGAATTACAAAATTTTGCAGCTGGTTGGTTTCAACGTAATTCACGCCTGTGCGTAAATTAATATTCTTCGAAATCCTCTCTTGCGCCAATTGCATTTGGTTTAAAATTAATTGTCCCTTTGGATCTATGGTTTTGTTTGAAGCTTGCTTGAAGCCCAGCTGCGCCCTGCAAAACTTTCCTTTGAACCTGGGAACTCCGTCGTTACTCAACGGCCCTCGCACGGCCAAACATTCGTCGTAATTTCCCAATTGAAATCGGGCGGCGCCCTGCAGAATTCCGTCCGGGGGCAGTTTCGTCGAAGAATCCAGCACTTCATTTTGATTGATTTTTTTTAAGTAAAAAAATTAAAGAAATCCTTACTTTTAAGAGCCCATAGCTGCGGATTAAGGGGACTGATTCCTGCCTGGTACGCGATAATGTCCAAAGAGCATTGAAATGACGGGTCAGCCCTGACAATCCCTAGGCCAAAAATCAGGGTGGCGAAAATTGAGAATATAATTGGGCCTCCCATTTTGGTTTAAACTCGGCAGCTAAGTGGGACGTTTTGATAATATGAATCACAGACCGATGATGTCAATGGAAAAAGATTGAAAAGGCGAGATAGCGTTATTATTCAACAAGTTGAATATTATCTTAATTGGTTTGATAAAAACATTTTAGATTTTAAAAAGCATTCACAATTTTTATAATATTCAATCTGATTACAAGAACTCATAGACTTTAATTAATTGCCCAATGAAAATTGAAATTTTGATAATCGTATAAAAACATCTCTTCGTACTTGTTTAAAAGAATAATATAATGAATAAATTTAAAATAATATTATGATCATGGCTTTTAACACTGAAAATGAGGAATATATGAGTTCCTTAAAAGTTGATTGAATTAAAATTTTCAATTTTTCCGCTTAAAAATTTTTTATTTTCATTTTAAATTATTCAACTTAAGCGCTTATTTAATGTGCGACTTGCTCAAAACAAAATTAGAGAATTCACGGCATATTATTTAATCATTCACTCTTTATTTCAACAACATCTTCTTCATTTTTCACCTGCTCTTGTATGACTGGATTTATATCCTGCCCTTTTGGCTGCTCTTCCTCAACACTAACTTTTTTAGCAGTGGTTGCTGATAAATATTGCAGAAGATTAAAATATTAATATAATTAAGTAAGTAAACCGTACCTGCTTTACCAAAAACGACCCTGATGATGGTCTGACAGGGGGCATCGACGGCCAAATAAAGCCACGTTGCTGGTGGAAGCATCATTACCAATGTGCTGAGGAACTCGCAAACCTAATATGGCCCAATAAAATAAACCAAATCTAAAATCAAAAATTTTCTTACTGCTCTAAAGGATGAATAATAAGTGTTTGCTCTTGTCTGGCCAAGGTGATATAAATTCACGTCTATGTGCACCAGGTAGGCGCAGAAACTAATTTTGCTAAGGGGCAAAAAATATTTCCAGGATAAAATCGAGTTGACAACACCTTCAAATAAAAAATTAATTAAATTCTTAATAATATGGCAAAATATTTAGTACCTCCGTATCCGTTGGTGCAAGCCCAGATTATGAACGAAATTCCGACGCCCCAAGCAAACCTGTGGAGACCAGCAAAGAAAGCTGCGCTCACGTGTTCGTACTGATAGTCGACGTTGTAAGGGATGACGATCATGTAGACAATCGCCAAACACATGGCCGTGTTGAGCAGCCACTCGATCAACACCCAAATTTTATTCATCTTGATTGTTATTTTGTTTGCAAGCAAGTAGGCCAAAATCATACCGGCCAAGTAAGGCGCCGCACGAATGGCTGGATTTAAGTAAATCAGTTTTCCAAAGTCTCCAGTTGAGAACGGACTAAAAAATTAATTAATTAAATAATAAACGAGACGAGGAGTAAAAAAAAAGAACTAGAAATGAAAAATAAACTTTTATCACCAAGAGACCATAAGACAAAATTCACAATGGTTTTTCTTCATCTAACATTCTCATTTTTTACTAAATTACCTAAATTAAATTAATGTTTTATGAACTGTTATAAATACTTTGGTGTTACTGCATTGGTCATGTGCAAGTTGAAGGCCAACGTGTAATAGAAAGCCAGGGCAACAGAGCCAAACGATAGAACTCCTAATAAAGCGAGACCGATTTTGGGCCGCTTGAGCATGGCAATTATGACAAAAGGTGCGACGACAAACGCCAGTTGCATGTCCACCTGGAGGTACCACCCTTGGTTGAGACACTTTTTGAGATAATCATTAAAAACAAACAAACTTTGAACTGGTATTTTTTAAACCACGGATTCGCCAGGCTTGAAGAAATTTTGAATGTAGACCAGGGAGACCCACCAGTATTGCTCACATCTTGAAGTTTCCGATTCGACGATCAGATCCCACAAAGGACCATCACTTAGTCGTTTGTGAACCGTGGCCAGGTAGAAGATCATCATTGCAAAAGGCGGCGTGATTCTAAAAATTTATTTACTACAAATCTTCATAAAAATATTGATATTGATAGTATTGCCTGATAAATCGATACACAAAGTATTTGAAAATATTAAATTTTCTGCCCTTTTTCTGCTCCATCAGGGGCACGTAGACCGTTAGCAAGCCACTTAGGACAAAAAATGTATCCACAGATAAGGCGGCGTGCAAAATTGGTGCCATTGTCCACATATAAGGATACTGTTCAGCAAAATGCAAAATATATAATTTATTAAAAAAAATTAATTAAATTATGCACCGTTTTGACAGCCGATTTAAAGTTAATGTGGGGGTTGAAATAGTCAACGGGTTGAGTGTGGATCAGGACGACCCAACAGAGGCTGAAAACCCTGAGGCCGTGCAGGCAGGGCAGTTGTCCTGGAGGTACACTTTTTGTTGGCAATTTGAATAGATCCCTCAGATTGGCGCGAAGTGAAAACGCTTTCACCACGACATGAATTTCTAATCCCGGCGAAAATTTTGTTTTCCAATATTTTGAAAATTAAAAAAAAAAAATTAAAACAATAAATAAACCTTTGTCTTTGGGCCAAACGTAATCACAAATTGTTGCAAACACCAATATCGTGTTGAAGATAATAAAGATTATTCTGTAAACAAAATTGAATTAATATCAAATGATGATAAACAAATTTAAAAAACTACAAGAAGAGCCAGGAACCTGTGTCAAGGTCTTTGGATCCGTCGTCCTCATAGTAGCACGAGTTTTCTATCACAGTCGTATCGACTTCCAAATTAAATTGAGAGAAAAATAGTCCTAGATTAAAATCTGCCATTCTTTTGACGCCGTCAGCATTGCAAGACGAGGGCGAACAAACTGCCCATTGTGCCAAAACATCATCACTCTGTTCCCAAATCAAAATATTTTAATATTTATGGGTAAATTTAGAATTTTACCAAGTTTTGCAACTGATTAGTTTCCACATAATTCACAGTGCCTGTGCGAAAATCCATATTTTTCACAATTCTCTCTTGCGCCAATCGCATTTGGTTTAAAATTAATTGTCCCTTTGGATCTATGGTTTTGTTTGAAGCTTGCTTGAAGCCCAGCTGCGCCCTGCAAAACTTTCCTTTGAACCTGGGAACTCCGTTGTTACTCAACGGCCCTCGCACGGCCAAACATTCGTCGTAATTTCCCAATTGAAATCGGGCGGCGCCCTGCAGAATTCCGTCCGGGGGCTGTTTCGTCGAAGAATCCAGCACTTGAATTGAAATGTAATTTGCTCTTGCATAAAATAAATGAACCTACTTTTAAGTGCCCATGGCTGTATGGGGCTGCTGAGGCCTATCTGGTAGGCGAGAATGTCCACAGAGCATCGAGTTGACGGGTCAGCCAATACCACCCCTAGCCCAAAAATCAAGTAGAGCGTGCCTCTCATTTTAACACTAACAAGTCTTGAGCACTGTATTGACTGCGTGAACTTGTTGATAACAAGTAAAAATCAAAACGTCATATTGCGATTATTAAAATATTTTGATTGTTATCTTTATCAAACGTGGTCAGATAAGTCCGCGCTGAACATTAAATTTAACATTGAATTAATTAATTTCATATTGGTAGGAATAAGCACTGAATGTAATAAATCAATAAAATATTTATAAAACTACTTACAATTGGAATTAACAGTGCAGTTTGTTCCTCTTTATACTTTGTGAGAGCAACAATGAAACAACAAAAGCTATTATTTATAACTTTTGATCTACTGATTTAAAGAATAAAATACGCATTATTTCAAATTTGTCTATTTTCTATTCTATATTTTTATCGCATGAAAATTATTTAAAAAGATTGAGACAAAAATGTTTTGAAAAAAATTCACTTTCTTCTAAACATCTTTTAATTTCGTCATTGTTTTTGATGACTTTCCCTTTTTATCACATTTATAACTTTGGTGACCCGAGATAATAAAAGCGGAAGGAAAAGTTATAAAAACGTGCTCTTCTCCACTCCATTTTATACAGCTGGGTGCAAACTTGACCCACAGAATATTTGAAGAGTCCAACAAGTTTGAATAAAATAAGCGAGCTTCCTTAAAAGTTGGCACCAGCCGCCGTCAGACAATAGTTTTCTGTGTCCATCTCCCTCATTGGCCTACTTATGCGCGGCGCAAATGTATGCTCGAGAGAGTCGCCGGCTCTCAAACATCCCGTATGTAATTTAGTACTATGCAGAGCACTTTGCAATCAGCGCAAATGTATATGGTAATTCTTTTGTCTGGTCCAATTCACTCTGCGCGCTCTCGGTCGCTGATCAAAGAAGGCGCAGAGAATCGAGTGCAATTCGAGTTTTGAGAGAGAGTTATTTTTATCCTTACACTTTCTGCACATATGCACCTTGAATAACCACCCACCGGCGGCTCAGTTGAAAAAAAGTTGACGTCATGCACGGCGGCTCGTCTCTGGGGAATTTTGCGCGAGTGGCCTGCGTTGCATTCAAAACAATCAGCCGCGAGTTGAGTGAGCGAAAGGGTCTGCATCGTAAATTGGCCGCAGGACGCGAAACAAAAGCAGAGGAGAGAAGCGGTGAAATATGAAATAAGCCATAAAATTTTTATGGAACGCAGCCAAAAGAATAAGCCATGGTCTCGGCTATGAATTTAAATTCTCAAATTCCTCTCTTTAAAACAGCAAAATTTAATTTACAGTCTTATTCAGGGTGCCCTTTTTAGAGTTCATTGACTTAATAAACTACGTTTTATTTAACATCACTAACAAATATAACTTCTATGTTTACTTAATACTCAAAGTTTAAAGTTCCCCAATTTGTGTGTTGCTGGCGTGTTGATAGAAATTATTGTTGAATTTATATTAATATCTTTGATTAAGTTTTTCTTGGATGACATCACTACATATAAAAATAAGCTATGTGCTTTTAAAAATAATCATTTTTTTAAACGAGGAAAGCACGCGAATATTATCAAGGTTAATTCGCGTTAGAAAAGCAATTCGATGTGACTCGCACATCCAGTTTGTCGCCTCTAATTATAGTGTGGGGACCCTTCCTTGCGTAATGTTATACAATGTGTGACGATGGTGTTCGGCCACTTTTATGGTGCGTGACCATCTGCAGAATTGCGCTCGTTTCCTTTTTTCACTCACTTCTGCCGAGGGCGAAGAGAACAAGTTTTCATTCATTCGATCTAAATCGAAAGCCTTTGATCCCGAGAATGAAAGAGAGCGCTTATCACTTTTTTCGTCACCGCCTCAGCGAGGAAATGTCAAAAGGCTAGCGTGCGAAAAAATGCGCGGGGTTACGAACTCTTTAACTCATCATTTTCTATCGCAGACCAGAGTTTTCAAATTTACTCTCATAATTGACTAATATCTGCCAGCTTTTTTAGTTTTAATAAAATTTGTCAATTTTTTTTTTAAATATGGCTCAGAGGAAGGGATTATTTACTAAATAAAAATTAAAACTGGTGGCCGCCAAATCAAAAAAATTATAACAAAAAACTACTTAAAATGCATAATGAAAATTAAAACTGTATTTTTGATTAAAATTTCAGGTTAGCAAAAATTACAGTTTACAAAGGTCACCGCAGTTTAAATTATTTAGACTGAAAGTTCACAATCTTTTCGCAATCGAATTTAATAAATATTGGAACTTTTTTAATCCTATAATTTACAAATTAATGGGGGAAAATATTAACTTTTTAAATTTTTTCGCTAGAACTTTTTACATAGGCGGTCTTAATTAGCCAAAATTAAAATGTGAAATTTTCCCAAACTGGGTTTTAAGATCAACACTATAATTTTTCTAAAAATTCAATACGTATTTTTATATATTTCTAGATTTTTAAACGTTGGAACACTCCGCAGTGGGTGCTTCCCATCAACTTTGATCTTAATTGACGTTTAAAATAAAATGCTGTCATTAATCACTCAACAGAACATTTAATTTTTTGTGTGAGTGTTTTTGCAGTTTTTATTACTCGTTGGAGTTGATGGACGTTTAAAAAGCAAAAAAAGACACAAAGGCGTACGAAGAAGTTTGGCCAGCTTCCAGAGCGTGACACAAGGAAGGGTAAATAAAATCCATCGTTGCGGCGCGAGTCGATTTGTCATGCGGGATCGAGAGACAAATTTCTCCGGGGCGGCCGCACACGTAAACAAATTAGTAAAAGCAGGACACGCGCTGCTGAGAGCTGGATGGAAATAAGAGATATTAGCCGCGTGATAAGGATGTGTGTTGAAACGAGTGCACTGCGGGGACGTCGTGCCGCCGCTGCACATAAAATTAACACCGACTTGTACTTAAGTGGGCACATCCATTTCTCGGGCCGGCCGGCCGCCGCGCGGAGGAAAGCGAATTTTAAGCAGGCCTTGATTTGTTTCCTCTCTCTCGATCTCGCATGAAAGGGGCGAGCAAATGGAATAAAGCCGCGGCCGCGAAATGTGCAGGCATGAAATGCGATTATGTTGCTGTGGGCCGCAGTTTCGAAGAGGAAGTCGCCTGATGAAAATGATGGCTCGAATGACCTGCCCGAAAACGAGGGAGGGCTTTTTCATGTGGACGTGCGCCAACTTCTTAAAACGCATGGGAAAGGTGCCACACCCTTGATTATGAATTATTACCAAACGGGGGAGAAGAAATGAGAAAATCGCAGACGCCCATCACTAAATTAACACAGACGTCTTGAATATTTTAAAATTTTTGCAGATGTTTTGAAGGAGAGAAAGTTTAATCAGGGCTTGAAGGCTAAAAACTTTTTGTTTCTTCTATTTTTAGAGTCTTATTTTATTTTATGAATTTTTAAATAAGAGAATTTAGAAAATTTTATTCTTACAGTCAAACCAGAATCAAACTTTTTTTATAAAATAAAATTTTCAGTATTTATCATTTTACATTATTTTGCATTCTTAGCCGAAGTTTTAATCCTGTTTCGTCGTCTTTGAGTATTTTAAATAAAAAAATAGTCGATCGACTAAATTTTAAACTTCTACAAGACCGAAATTAGATTTATGTTTTTTGTGATTAAACAAATAGACAAATATTTATGACTGTTTCTTTAATGAGACATTTCTTCTTTTGGCTATGCAAATTTGAAAACCAGCAGTTAAAAAAACACCTTATTAAACTGACATCAAAGCAATTTGCCGCCTCACAGCGTGGGGCACAATATAGTTTATTTTTATTTTGGCAGTAAATAGAAGTGGAAATTTGAATTATTATTGCTGTAAGTCGCAGCAGCATCATAAAGTCTTGTCGTGAGATATAAATTATATATTTATAGAAAAAAAACTCAACGTGCGACCTTGCTGGATAAAAGCTGGATAAAATCTTGATCACATTTTAATGTGCTGCTGGTCTAGAAGAATTTCTCGCTTTGATGCTTCTAGATCAAGAGGGCTTATGCGCATTAATTTGTTTATGTCCAAATTGGATTACGCCGACTCGAGAGAGCAGAGAGTCTTCTGGACCATCACTTACGAAAATACAGCGCCCAAAGTGACTTTTATTGGCCTAGACTTGTTGAGAGATCTTAATTTGAATATGTGCGTGTTATTGAATAATTTTAGACGCGCAGAGAGCGAGGGCGAAAACGGATTAGGATGCGCGAAACAAAGGTCACTGGCACCAGAGCACAGATACGTTGCAAAACATGTGGCTCCTCCAGTTTGCTGATTAGATTCGCCATTGGGGATAAAAACTCCTAATTCTATTTTGGGTTAGCTGCGAAAGCTGTTGAATGGAAGTAAATCTTTCACCCTCACCCTTCCATTTCTTCAAAATGCAATACATGTTAAATAAAAATGTGTGTAAGTATAATAATTTCAGTACAATGACAAATTACAAATAAAAAGAGTCATTTAAACTGATAAAGTTGTAATTAAAAAAAGGTTTAAAAGTTATTTTTGCATAATTATTTGAATTATTTTATTTTTAAATATAATATATTTTATTATGTTGATTTGTTTTAATATTTAATTCGATTTAATTTATTGCAAACATAATTTTGATTCTTCCCATGAGCAAAAAAATATGATTGCACTTAACACAAGGTTAAAACCCCAATAAATCTCTGAAGATCATGTAAAATGTGAAACATTGTTCTGCGTCAGCAATAAATGGCCCCTTCAGTTATAGAATGCATTATAATGATATCGTGCCGCATCGAAATATTGAAAGCATCACTTTTTTTATATTTCCAGAGGCTGCTTATTCGTGCCATCCGTGAAACCCCTCTCACATAAATAATGCAAAGAGACGCGCGAGCCTCCCATTTAAAAAGATCACTCGAAACAAAAAAAATGAGAGGCTCTCCAGCGAGCATACATATCGAGTCAGTAAAATGATGTTAAATAATTCAGGAGCGCGCTGCAGAAGAAAGTGCGTGGCGCGCACAAAAACAAAAGCAAAGAGTGGCGACGACAGACGCCGCTTCCTGGGCTTTTGAAGTGCGGCGTGGCCTATTTCGTGTGTTTTAATTGAGAGAATTCCTCCATATCTATGCAGAAGGGCCACCAACAGCTGTCCCGGCCCATATTGATGGATTTTAAAAACAAAGCTTTTAAGTGCTTCTCTAAATTGAAGAGAGCTAGGGAGAGCGATTTATTTATTGACAACAAACAAATTGACTGCTCTATCAAAATAAAACGACCGCATGCCCGCGATCTGTTGCTGCAGCCATGTGTGTGCCCCGAAATTTATTTTTACTTCTGTTAATGGCCTGGTAAAAAGTGAATGGGGCTGAAGATACGATTATAAATTAATCTAATTGACTGGAGAGTGACTCATTTTTAATTACTCCCACAAACCCACAACTCTACATCCACTCGTGCTTCGATGAATTTCAATTTACAGGAAAATTTCCAATTTTTTCTTCAATCAATGAATTACAATAAAAATTTTCACAGTAAGATAGGTTTTTAAATAACTTTTTATTTATTTTAAATATCTCTCATTAATAATTAATTTAAAAAATGTAATTATTTTAAATATTTACTACAGACAAATTCAGGTAAAAATTTAGAATTCAATTAATAGGTGTTTTTGTTTTCTGTAATGCTGAAATTTCTTGCAAATTTTAAGTGTGTATTTGTTCGAGGGGGCAACGCAGGGGTGGCTGTTGCAAAAAAAGGACGGGGTAGCGCGTCGGTGTGCGCATCCATCCATCCGTCCCCCTTTGTACCGGAATTGGCAATTCGCGAAAACTGCAAGTGGCGCGGTGGCGGCCGAGGTGAAGCTCGGCAGTCCGAGTGATGCTGCAGGCAGGAGCTGCTAGGCGGCACAGCAGCATTCCGTGAACGTTGTGGGGTGGTGTGCGTCACACATAGAAATATCGATCGGGGGTTGGAGTTGCCAGGCGGTGAAAAAGAAGAAGCGCACCGACCGAACGACCGACGACCGCTTCACGAATATCCGCAACATTATCTCATTGTCTGTGGCATGGTGAGCCAAGTTTAATTTCTGCTGATCTGTTGCCTCTTTCTTTTTCATCAAGGGCGTTTTTGTTCCATCACACAAGCGAGATCAGCTGGCGAGCACTTTTGCCGATGAGATTAATCGGTACAAAATTTGCATTTGTTTTGAAAGTTTTCATTTCCTTTGGTGAATAAATTTCCTTTTGGCATGCGATCCTTTTTTCTGCTCGGATTATGAAAATATTAACTTTATAAAGGGGCACGAATATCTTTATATAAAACGTCTTTCTCTCTTTAGATGTTTTATTTTATTCTTAAAATAGAAAAGTTCCCACAAAAAGTCACAGAAGTTTTTTTACTTTATTTAATGAACCGCCTCATTTTCTCGGAAGGCTTTGATTTATTGCACTCCATCAAACGTCGCGATAGACGCAATTAGTAGTGCGTTCCTCTCACTACTCAGTCAGGCCTAATACAGAGAAAACATGAAAAGCCATGCACGCTCTGGTGGCGGCGGAATAATAATGACATTTAAAGTCATGCGTGTGTGCAGAGCTAGTTAGGCCGTGCCTTATTCCGAACACAAAACCACACCGACCGCGACACATCGACAGATCCTCAAACATATGGGACGAGCCAATTGCTAACGTCAAGGAAAACCCACTGAAGTTGCCAAAAGCATGCAAAAATAGTCCTGACCACTCTTGACATTGGCGTCTTTGAATTTTAAATTAGCTCATCCTTAATTCTGCTAAAACTGCTTTCTTTCAAATATTCAAAAAAACAGCATTGGCATCATCCAAGAATAAAAAATGATTACCAATTTCATATTTTTATCAAAGTTTTTTTGCAGTTAAAAATTCAATTAAATAATTTGTAGACTCTAGGCGATTTGCTTAAGCTTAATTTTAGTTTGTTTAAAATATATTAAAAGTGTTTGAAAATAAATTTATGAAGTTATTTAATAATAATTTCAAATATTTTTACCTGTCGAACTTAATATATTATTAAATTTTTTATTAATTGTATTGAATTTCATTTCTGATACTATATAAATGGTTTTTGACATTAATTAATTGAAGTACAAATTTGTTCCATGTTCCATGAGACACAAATAAACAGTTTAAAGTAACATAAATAAATATTATGAACCCTAGCCGCTCATTTTTTCGTTTAGTATAAAATTAATGAGAAAAATGAGTTTAATTGAAAATAATATTTTAGAAATTATTCATTTTTCAACTGATTTTTGTGCAAAATCTCAGAATGATGCAAATATGTTATGTAATCCGCATTCAAATTTATAGCAAGTTTGAGAATTAATTCAGCCTTAGCCTCCTTGACTGCCTTTTCATTTCATTCTTTCATTAAAATCTGACACTTTCTTGCAGTCTAGACCAGCACTCGAAAATAAAAATTCGCTCACGCACCACAAGCGCGACAATTGCACCGCGTGCGTCTCTTGAAATCGCAACAAAAAATGTTTCATTCGAGAGCGCGGCGCTCGTCTGGCGGCAGCCAAGCGGTCTAATTTAGCCAAACAAGCGCGCAGACTGGCTCTCAACAAGTCTGCTTGGTGGTCCAGACCACGGCAGGGGTGGTTGGCTGATGGTTTTCTGTGTGAGTTGAGAGAGAGACAGACGGAGAGCGTGTATACAGAATTAATATGACAAAAGAAGAGGAGCAAATGCAGAGAGAGCTCAATGAGATTACATCAGAGCCAGCCCCAGAGAAGAGTTGTTGCCAAAACGAAAATACCCCCGGCCGCGGGGCCGCCTCATCTCGTTAAACTACCTTTTGGCGGCTGAATTAGCACCTTTGCCGGCGCGGTAATTAATCAGCCCAATTAATCTGCTTGCATAATCAAAAACCCAAGCATGCTCTTTCTTTCTTTCTCTTCTTTCGTGACCTAGTTGGCCGATATGCATGCACTTTGCTCCGCCGGATATGCATGCACGTGCATGCATAAATGCACTTTTAACTGCCCATTAAAATCGATCTGTTTGAGAAAGACCGTTAAAGTGCTGCAGTAATTCGGTAAATTTTACAGCCGCTGCTGACCGAGCAAATCGTAAATGATTTTTTATGGAGATGAAATGGACGATGAGTTTTTTAAGCGACAGAGAGAAAAGCGTGAGAGCGTTTTGACACTTTGTCGTTTTGGAAGCATGCCGTGGATTTTATGGTTTGTTTACTTGCTTTAATGTGCTCTCCGTACAGTACCTAAAAAAACTAGGTTATGTATTTCTGTCAACCCATAATATTGGAGGAGGTACTTAATTTTTTTCTGATGTTAATATGCGTGGTGAATTTTATGATGTTCACAAAGAATGAAGTACTAAAAATAAATTAATTTTATGCGGTGGGTTTAAAAACTATACATTTTCCTGTAATTTAATTGATAAAATTTTATCTGTAAATTTACATTGTTTAACTGACAAAAGGGCCTTTAACAAATTTCTGTTGTATCAAGTTTTCCAATGAAAAGATGTATCCCTTTCCTCAGAAAATTTCCTTTTTCAAAACACTGACGATTTTTTTCGCATTTACATATTTCTTTATTAGTACAAAGATAAAAGTTTTGTTTTTATATTTAATAAAGAAAATCTGTTTTTACTTGGGAAAATATTATTTATTTCCAATTATGTGGTCAAACATTTTTGTTAATACAGTTTTAGGAAATAAATCTTAATTTTTTGTGTTAATAATTGAATTTAGTTACTGAGATAATTTTTAATTCAAGTTTTAAGCTTAAGTTGTATAATTTTCAGTGCAGTTCAAGTTAGTCACACGTTTGAGCAGTTGAGGCGCGTGTATATTAAATGTCACGGAGTCACTCTCGCAGCATGGGATCTAAAGGCCTTTGCTCTTTTTCTAATGGATTTATTTTTGGCCGCACCGGAATACGCAACGTCATACAAGCGCGTGCGAGGCGAAATTCGCACACGGAAAATTCTGCTTGCACGCAAATTCACTTATCGAGTGCAAATAGCATTTGCAGCAAATCATTGTGAAACTACAAAGAGCCGACTTTGAAATAAGCACGGCAGTGTCGAAGCCATAAAGCTACCTTTAGATATATTTGTTTTTTCGCCAAGAACAGACAAGCTGAGCATTGTTTTGCATGTCAACAGTTGTTCAATTTGTAAAAAAGGAGCAGTGAAGAAGTATGGAGGGTATTATTTCACTGGCGAGCGCCGACGGAATGTGTCATGCTTGAGAGATAAGCCTTTCGTCAAAATTCTAAACCAATACTTCTTGTGACGGATTCCATAAAAGAATCAAACAGACAGAATTTAAATCTAATTGTAAGTTTTTATATTTAAATTTAGCTTCAATAATTATTAATATAAAAATATTGCCAATCGTTATGAATATAAAATCTTTATTTAACTTTTCATTATTTTATTATTTCTTGTTTATTTTTTAATGTTTATTTATTTTGTTTTGATAAAAATTACATTGTTTTATGATTTATTTTAGCTACATGCAATTTCTGTTTGATTTTTGTATTTACAAGGTTTGTAGAACCTGACATTTGTAATTATCATGTAAAGAAATTAGAATGATTTATTGGTTTGGTTTTCTGCAAATGGTGCTTGTCATTAAAATTAATAATTGAGATTATACCAAAAAATCGGAAATAATTTCTATTTATTTAGTATCAGAAATCAATATTTAACCATCAAATTATTTAAATTTTCAAAACAAATTCCATTATTAATTTTATTTTGATTTTTTTTCCGACTTGAGAGTTTTAAAGTCACTTTCATTTTTCACCCGCGGACAGACACAAATCCGGCGCGGCGATTTTTAACACATTAAGTCATGCGTCGAGAGTCTAATTTTAGTCGAGCACTCTCTCATTTACGTTGTGCAGCTTGACGAAATTGAAACTTTTTACTCCACGCCACACAAAAAATGATTGCTCTCCAAATTTGGCGGCACGATCTGTGCCGTTTTGAGGGTCTGTTTGTAATAAACGCGCGGCGGCCCGACTACTTCCTGCAGCACACACAGATTAGGATTAAAACGCCGTCGCATCGCAACTACTTCCGCCACAGATGGAGCGTGGGTGGCACCGACGGAATTAATTAATCTGATCGATTTAATTGTCCCAGACGCAAATAATGATTTATGATCGGCGCAGACTGCGAGTCGTCATGTGGATGAAATCATTGGGTCGCGACCGGCGGCGAGGAAACAAAAAGCTCGGCTGGGGACTCTCGCTTGATTATACCAGCACCGTTTTTTGTTTGTTCGCCCAATGACACAAACACACACAACGATTATCTTTTGTAAAAAGGCGCATGCAGTTTCGGACGCTCGCTGATCCGCTTAAAGCCTGGTGATAAAAGTAATGACCGGAGCGCGCGATAAAAACGGCTGAAAGTTTCCTTTAATGGACTTGATATTGACCCACTTTAAGAAGAAGTCAAATTGCTCATTATTTTGGATGTTTATGGGGAAATTATTTTAATCGTAGAAAAATCACTCCAAACCTTTTTAACGTTATTTGATTCTTCTAAAGTGAAATTATTTACACCTTAAAAGTAATTTTCATGATCAATCTTTAATGCAGTTTTATTAAATTAATTTGATTAATTATTGTCATTGTTGTTGTTTATTTGTCCTCATTTTTAAAAATACATTGTTTACATTCAATTGTTGTAAACAATTTATTTAAAAAAAAATATGGATAAAACGGCACCACCACCATCAAAATTTTTTCTAAAACTTCCGAGATCAAAAAGACGCAGTGAGCCTCGGTTGACTAAGTTTTTTTCTAAATCTTTATTGACACAGTCAAATCATATTTTAACAACAATAGAAGCCATTTTTGGCAGTTATTAGATCTTCAACAATTCAAAATTTTATCCCGCCTTGTCTTGAAGACTCGATTTAATTTCCCAAATAGGAACCGTAAAGAAACATATAATTCTATTTTTGAGACAAACGTTTTTAAAAAAGCTCAAAATTAAAAAGAAAAATGTCGCTTTTTATTTTTAAGCCTTTCAGGCAATTTTA